AAGTATTTTTTTCATATGAGATGTGAATCTTGGAGAAACCTATACACAAAGGAAAAAAAAAGTGCATTTTTAATGCTTGTGTTTATATTTGAAACAGTTTTGGGGAAAAAAAAAAAAAATCTATTTTGTTCCGTTTTAGAATTAAGGTATCTAACCTTGTAATTTTCTGTGTACTGAATGTTGAAAAGCAGAAGTATGTTAGTGCTTTTGGTTTCAGACATTAAAGCACTTTTGTCTCTTTTTGGTTTAGTGAACGTTAAAACTTGGAGTAAAACTGAGCTTGGACAGGATACAAGATCACATATGGGATTTTTCTTTCCCCTTACAGAGCATTTTTGAGCCCCCACACACTGGAAAGCCTAGTCAGAGAGGCGGAGAAGGAGGAGACGATAGTATTTTTGTGGCCTTGATGTAAATGCCACGTTTTAAAGAAATTACATAACGAAAATTGCTTTCCACTTCAGTATCTCTAAGGACTGTTAACAGGGGCAACTCCAGACCAAGAAATACTTTGCAGTGTCAGTGCTCAAAATGAGTTATCATTTGATATCAGGACACAAGATTAAGGAAATTGATTCTTGACTGGTTTTGCTGAGGAGATTCTGGCATTATTTGAAACAGATACCGATTTGTTTCACGCATGCCCATGAAGTTGTGGGCAAGAGTTGTTGTTTGTCATGTAAAGCCTTGACAGGTGGGGTGAAGACCACATCTTTCTCAAGGAAGCAAAATAAGAGGTTATTTTTATTCTTGGCTGCTTGCTTGTCCAGCATTTTCCTGTTTGTGTGATCAGAGATACTCAGGAATATGCTGTCTCATAGTTATTTGTGCTTTATTTCAACACTGACGGTTCTTTTAGATAGGAGTATTACTGTTGTCATCAATGGCTTTGTTAATTCAGAACTGCAATATGGGTTTTTGGTTTTTATTTGGTGGTTTGGGGGTTTTTGTTGGGTTTTTTGGGGGGGTTGGTGGTTTTAGTTTTCATTAAACACTGTATTTCTGGAATGGATTATTTGGTCCAAGTGGGTAGTGGCAGCTTCTTCATGGTGTCACATACTCACATTTTTTGCAATCCAGTCTTTTGGTTTCTAGAGGAAGATTAAGGTGTATTACACGTGTGAAGTTCTAAGCCAATTGGGAGCTGCATCTGTCTGCTAGTGGAGGCCTAAGCAGCTGCAAATAGGATTTGCGCATTGGAAAGATACAGTGGAACTTAAATTACCAGTTATGAGACTTAATTAAAGTGATGAGCAGGGAAAAGTGAGGAAGTGAGGAAGCACTATTTTTTCAGTCAGTTAATAGCTTGGATTTCTTATTTAAAATATGTTAGGTTAGCCTGCAGTTTCTGGATGAGTGCAGCCTAGCATGGACTTCATATAAAATATAATTCAACGTAAATGACAAATAATACACTTCTCCCCCACATCCCCTATGTTTCCTGAGTTGGTTGCAAGTAGGGATAAGAACTTGTCATGGCTTTAGTGATACTCAGTTATACTCTTTCATAGCTGGTACCTGAAAGAGAAAAGAGAATCGTAAAGAGAATCTAGCTCCTAAGATCATCTTGTTTCTGAAGTTATTTTCTCTGAAAAAGGACAGTGAAATATCTTGTATTGTTTTAATATTTATTTATTTATTTGCACTAATACATTTGCTTTGCAGGAATTCTGTTTTCATCATGTTGTCTCACCAGTGCTGGATGAGCTGAAACTTCCTGCATCTTGGGGAGAGCATGTATAAAAGGAATGACTTCATGGCCAATGTGATGGTCACCTCCGCCACTCCAGAGGTACAGTTCCTTGTTTTTCATTACCTCCTGTATCAAAATTGGAAATTTTGGCTTGTTTGAACTTTCACAAAAGCCCTTCCTGTTACCAGTCATGTCATCCTTTTTCTTTCAAACAATATTGTATTTGACAACAGAGCAATTTTAGAACACTCCAGGTTTCTGAGTGTTCACAACCTATTTTTATTGTTGCTGCTGCAGATTACTCATTTAGATTAGTTTTAAATAGTTCTTTGTTATCCTAATTATTTTTATTAGTTTATTGATATCCCTTTTAAGAATCTGCGTATGTATTCCAAGTTTGTGTGCACAATGTATTTATAAAGGAGCATATTCATATTGTGTAATACATTTTCTCTTCCAGACTTTCCAAATCTCGTGAAGTCTCTTTTCAGTTTTCGTTGCCAGGTTTTGTGTTTTCCTTGACCAGATTGAATAAATAAAATGAAGATCCATAGTCATCAGCAAATTGTCACCTCATTGTTCACTGTCTTTTCCAGGTTGTTGAATATATAATAATCATCACTTATCCATGCATAATTCTCTGCTGGTTCACATATTCTCAGTGCTTATAACTACTGCCTTGTAACTGATTGTTTATCAACAGTCTCTGTGCTGGGGATACATGGATTTCATAACGTGTTTGGAGTGAGGAACCACGTCAAAAATCTTTTGGAAGTCCAACAAGACTTATGTTCCTTTACCCACCTGTCTGTAGATACTGGGACAGTGCTTCTCTTTCTAAATACTAACTTGGCAATTTCCTGATGCAGCATACCTATCTGTGTTTCTGCTAATTCCCATTTATTCTCTTCTTGGGTTTGCCCAGTAGAAATGTCAGGCTTCCTAATCAGTAGTTCCCCAGATTTTTTTGAGGGGGTGGAAAATTCAGTATCTCATTTAAGACCTTTGTTTTTGCTGCCACGTCAGTTTTAAGTGAGAATTACATACCACAGTTAGTTAAGGTGTGAAAACATCTTGTTTTGACAACAGTGTTCTTATAGCAAGCAAATAACTTCAGTGAGCTAAGGGCTTAAGTTTTTACATGCATATATTTTTATTCCATATGTAGTTTTAAGATAAGAAATAGAAAAATAATGCTATTATTAAGTCATATTATTCCTAAAGAAAGGAAAATGAGCCACAAGTGCCTGCATCTGAGCCCAAGGACAGAAACTTCAAAAGGAAGGCAAGGCACCAATTTTTAAGGCAAGACGCAGGACTATGCTAAACTACCCTGGAGCTACTACTGGGTTAAATTTCAGGATGTGTCAGTTTTTCCTTTTTTATAATGTTACGGATAGAACAGCATGATTTGGGTCTACCCAGTCTTTACTATGCATATTTAATTTAAAAATTTCCATTTGATATGAGTCTTCAAAATCGCAACACGTTTTCTTTTGTGTGACAGCTCTTTTATCTAGTCTATAATTTTAAAAATGGCTTTTTAAAGCTGGAAATTTCATAGAGCTAGAATTGTATGTCACTGTAGTTTTTGTAGAAGAAAGTTAGTTGGAAACATTTGTGAACCATGCTAAATTAAATTTTATAATTCAGTTTCTGAAGCTTTTTGAAGTTCATATGTTTTTTTTTTTAATTTCTTAATATTTTTAAACGTATTTTCTGAATTTGACATGAAATTAATCATTATGCCGATAAGCCTACTATTTTTTCTTTGTAGGGTAGTAGCAGCTCAGATTCTCTGGAAGGGCGAAGTTCAGATTATGCCAATAAAAGCTACGATGCAGTTGTATTTGATGTGTTAAAAGTAACTCCTGAGGAATTTGCTGTAAGTAGAAATGTTATTTTTTGCACTTAAGCATCTAGAATATTCAGACATATTAAAAAATACATAAAACTTTTAAAATATTTTAAATGAACTTCCAATGTTCTTGCAAGCAAATTTCTGATTATGTAAATTTTAGCAAAATGAACATGTCTTGGGATTTAATCATTCAGTACTGACCTGACACAACATATTTGTTTCAGTGTGTGAAGCTATTTTAATTTTTTCTAGTGATTTACAACAGCCTAGTATAGGCTTAAGGATGTTAGTTATCCCCAATTGGATTTTGCTTTTTTTTTTTTTTTTTTTTTTTTCTGAAACCATCAATATTCATCTTTTTTGCTGAAGCACTGGTTTCTCCGAAAAATCAGTTTCTTAAAAGCAGTAATGAGGTTTGTAGAGAGGAAACAATTTGCATTCCTTAATAACAAGTTTTCAGTACTAAACTGAAAGCAGAACTGCAGTTTTGGTTAAAAGTCCAATACAGTTCTTCTGCTTGGCCCCTTGTTCTTAATTTATATGTTAAGTTGCTGGGGAGCAGGAAGGAGTGGGGATGAAAGCTATTGATCCTAGTTCAATGTTTTCATTAATTTTCTGGGCATCAAAATGATGTTTTCCTCCTTTGATATAAGGTCATTTAATAGCTCTTCACAAAAAAAGTCCTGGAGATATGTCTACATTATACCTTTGAAACAAAATCCTGATGAGTCTCTTTTAATACTAATACAGAGTACACAGATGAGAGCTGCTGTTAGGCAAAAATACAAAAATACTTGGTTGGCAAATCTGCATCAGCTCACTTAAAAAGTGGCCTGATGCTTTCAGTGATATTCATCCAAGTTCAGATGATGGCCAAGGAGTACCTTCAGAAATGAACAGAGCCACAATTTAGGTAGGCCTGTAAAATTGCATTGGAATAGAGATGTCTGATTTAACCTGAAGAGACTGAATATTAAGTCCAAAGGCAGCACTGAATGTAGTGTGTAGTCTATACCAGCAAAAATGAATTTGTGGTGATCTCAGAACTGTATTTATAAAAAGATCAATCTAAGGTCGCTTGTAACTTACAACTCATCGGTTTTCTATTATGTTCATAATTCCTACGGCTGTCGGTTTGAGACAGAAGCATGTTGATGAAGGTCCTGATTTAATGACACACTTTAAAAATGCACACACACCCTTACATCATTGTAACTTATCTTTTAATTCTGAAGTCCAAACTTCTCTAAGTTGCTTTTCTCTCTCCAGTTCCACCCATAGCCATGAACAAAACAAACAAAAACTCCACCAGCCCACATAGAAACCAAAAATTGAAATGTGTGTCTGTAGGACTGGCAGTGAGACTTGAAAAGGTCGTATGTAAACCTTAGTGGCAGGGCTGTTTGTTTGGGGTTGGTTTGTTTGATGGTCACACAAACTTTTAACACCAAGGCTTTCTTAGCCAGAGTAGCTGTTTTCCTTGTGCCACATTAAAAGCTTTTAATTGGTTTACCCTAATCCTCTTTTTTGTTTTTTGGGGTTTTTTTTAAATTAAGAGTTCAAATAATGTTAACTGCTTCTGTTCCATCCAGAGAAGCAGGTAATTTCTTTTTTCAGTAAATAGCAGTAACTCATAAATTGTACATACTGTTGCTTGTTACTCAAGACTGTAGTAATCTATTTCAAATAACTTGAAACAGTTCAGCTGGGGAGAATGAAAAAAAGCCACAGGTCTGGGGTTGCTGTAGTTAGTACAGTTCGGTTACTAGACATCAGGGCAGAGATCTATAGAAGCCGAGATTGCTGTATTGAATATAAATATTTAGAGAAGGGAATAATTTCCAAATATATAATGTCATTTGATCACTGAAGCAATTGAATTATTTTACCACTCGGGTGCTAAAAACGTTGTATAAATGCTTTTTTTCCCAAAATCATTGGCTTTGAAACAGTGCTACAGTGTCTTACCAGGACACACTCATCAGCAACTTAAAATCTGTGCATGACACTTTAAAAGCATATTCCAATCATAACTAATTAACTCACCCTAATGCTTTAGTGCCTTTCAACCCAGTGAATGTAAAATATATGCTGCTCTCTGTGTGAAAGGCAAGTAATTCTTCCTGAGATTTCTGTTATGTCAGTAAAGGGCCCAAAGAGTAAAATGCTCAAACACGGGCTTTTCCTCTTAGACTGCTGCAGGCACTGAAAACCTGCACTTAGTAGCAGCTGGTAAATGTAAGATAATATAATTCAGGCTTGTGGAGCTTCTGCTTGTGGTGTGTCAGCCTGGACAGGGGAGGCCGAATTCAGGGCTGGTCAGTTCTAGTCTACAGAGAAAATGTGACTGAGTGGTTTGTAGTTACTAAAGGGCAGATGTAAATACATGATTGTTAGTTGTTTTTATTACATTATTAAAGATTTTATCTTTATTGCAGAGCCAGATTACATTGATGGACATGCCAGTATTTAAAGCTATACAGCCTGAGGTAGGTTTTCTTAAACTCTCTGTTTACATCTTTGGAATTCAGTGCCTCAAGAAATGTAACCATTTAAATAATGCTTTTTTGTTCAGAAATGCTCAACTTCTTGCACTGCACTAATATTCTTCTCTTGCCAAGAGAGATGACTATGCTTTTCTGGAGTCTTCCTGTCCTGCTTTGTGTTGAGTTAATCTGTTGTTGAATTTTGTGTTTGGAGGAAGTGCGTTACATTGTTTTTTCTTGAGGCTTTAGTCTTTAACGTGAGCTTATGCATGGATGGAAAGACAAGATTTTAGAGTTCTGGTTGTCAAGTCTTACCTGAAACACACAAGCATCCTTTAAACCTAGCACTTGCTGAGGCTTTTTTCTGCTTTTTGATCGAGCTGTTACTAAAAAACATATATGGGTGTTACTTTGCAAGAGTTCAGTAAGAGGACATCTGCTTAACAATTCCTTGTTCTCCAGCAGAAATAACTGTTTACAATCTAGATTTCTATGTACCTTTATCTAGTTTGTTTTGTCTTGTTTTGTTTTTTCCCCAAAGTCTTGGAAATAGCAATCCTCAGAAATTTCAGGGGTTTTTTTGCACACGTGACTGGAAAGTTTCTTGTGACTGTGTGCATTCAGGAAATTGCCTGCATCGTTTCATCCAGAGAGATGAAGTGTAGTGCTAGAACACAGTACATTTTAGTAGTATAAAAAAAATTCAGCAGGGGCATGTTGGATCACTTACTCTTATCAGCCTTCCTATTCATTCAAATTTTTAAACCTAGTCAAATGATTTTACCATGCACAGGATTTTCCATTGTTGCTCACTTGTCCTCTGGCAACTGCTTAATATCCTTGGTTACTGACCTGTTCCACTTTTCTGATAAATGTATATTTTGCTCTCCTTAGTACACCGAGTGACTGAGATTTTTCCACATAAACATATAATTTCCAGACTCTTAAGACCAGACCTGCACCGACCATGTGGAGAATCTGTGTCTTGACAGATGTGAATTGGCATTTTTATCTTCAGAAGATTTAAATGCTGGAAGAATGGGATACAAAGTGTGTTTGGAACTGGAAATGCTTTTGCTGGTGCTTACATCTCGAGGGCATGTTCCATTTACCTGAATGTACAATGTGCTATTCAGAGGCAGAATTCTCTTTGGCTGACTCTGCCTTTTCATGTGAAGGCGTCTAAGGTTAATAGTGTACATTTGGAAAGTTGAACAACATTTTGATTGAAACTGAAATTTGTGGTTCTAAAAACAGAAGAGTGATTTAGAACTGGTGTTATGGAGAACTCATTTCTAGTACATATGTCAGAACTGACCACTTGTCAGATCTGAATATAAAGACTGTATAGATAGGTGGTAACTTGAATCTGTAGTTAAAAAAGAGCCAGACTGTCTAAATATATATTTGGAACTACCTGAAATAACTATTGGAAAGTGGACTCTCTTGCCCTGTCTAAATCAAATTTGTAGTTATAATTTCTTTTGATGCATAATTTAATACAGTTTATTTAATGAGAAAGTCATTAATCTGCTTTTAACTGTTCTGTTTACTTTTTATTTCCCGCAGGAATTTCTACTATTTATTTTGCAGTTTAGGTGAAAGATTATTTTTTGTCATAGAGCACTGGGATTTTGTTATACATTGAAATTGATTAGTTGTGGTTACTAGTATACTACAAATTTGTGATTTTTTTCTTCTTATTATGAACTGGGTTGACTTGGAAGTAGTTACCATAATGAAAGAGCATTCAAAAATTTGTTTCATATACTGTGACTGAACTATGCAGCCTACTGGCAACTTTTTGCTTTATTAGTGCCAAAGTACTAATTTATATTTTTAAGTACATGCCACACTTCAGTCAAGTCTGGCTAAACTCTTATGACTTAAAAAACAGCCAAAAAAAAAATCAGAAACCAAAATAAAGAGTTCTAATCCCAACCTTCTGACCAGAAGACCTTCAGACTTAAGACAGTTACTGTCCAGCCTTTTTCCAGTAACAGAATCTCTCAGTCAGAGTATCACGTACAGAGATTTCAGGATTTTTAAAATTACTTTCCAACTACTGTAAACAATGATATTGCAGTTCCAAAATTGTGTTTTTTCAGATGCTTTAGATCTCACGTTTTAATTTATTAAAAAAAAAAAAATCAGAAGTTGAATATGCTAAACTGTGGGGTATTCATGGAAGTTTTATTAACTGTAATAATGAGGATGACATTCCGCAATAATAGCTGGGTTGCCACCTCTAGTTGCACGGCGGAATCTTGTACTCTTTAACTACAGCAGGAAAACACTGAAGTGTGTGGTTAGACTAGTTGTCATCAGATTGGTGCCTTGGATTGGCTTCAGCAGTTATGTGATAGTTGCTTGTGTCATGTTTCAGTTTTTACACTTTTAAATGTTTTTTAAACATTACTGTTTTTTAAAGCATTTAAAAAATTTGTTTCCTAGGAACTAGCCAGCTGTGGATGGAATAAGAAAGAAAAACACATCCTCGCTCCAAATATTGTTGCCTTTACTAGAAGGTTTAACCAGGTAAATGATTTAGTTACTGTGATGAACAGGCACTTTTTGACAGTTGTTTTCACTTATAAAGTTAAATAGAACTGTTCCTATGAATTGAAATTGAAGAATGGCCTCAAGTTGCACCAAGGGCAGTTGAGATTGGATCTGAGGAAGAATTTCTTTCCTGAAAGCGTTCTCGGACACTGGAAGGGGTTGCCCAGGGCAGTGGTGGAGTCCTCATCCCTGGAGGGATTGAAGAGTCGTGTAGACATAGTGCTGAGTGACATGGGTTAGTTGAGGACTTGTCAGTGTTGGGTTAATGATTAGACTTGATGATCTTAAAGGTCTTTTCCAATCCAGGCAATTCAGGGATACTGTAATATTTTTCTAAATTAAGTTTAAGGTTTTAAAATGGCAATTCCTGTTTTCAGTTGATTTATCCACATTTTTGTGTTGTTCCTCTGGGCCATTGGTTCCTAATTATTAGTTCCTAATAATTTTTGCTGATGTATTATGATATAACATTAGCAGTTCTTCTTTGTCGGTGTTTCATCTGCTCATTTAATTATCTTAGTGTTGCCTTGCTTCTCTACCTACTCCTTATATCCAGTGGCAATGCTTTTGGGTAGTTGTAGCTATACAGATGAGAATTCATGGGATCAGGACTGCTTTTTCTTTCTTTACTCTGTTTTTTCCCTGGAGCATCATGAAAGTTTACAAATACTTTATCTAATAGAGTCCTTTTTTCTTTGTAAATAAATTCAGTTATGTGTTTACTTTATAGGTCAGTTTTTGGGTTGTACGAGAAATATTAACAGCACAGACCTTAAAAATAAGGGCAGAAATATTGAGCCATTTTGTGAAAATAGCTAAAGTAAGTGCAAATTTCTTGTACTGTCATTCAAAATCTTATTTCCTTTTTGTTTGTTTCTGCACTACTTCTATGAACCATTGTTGGATTACAGAGTAATTTTTAGCATATCTATGTTGTACCACATGAGTAAGATAAAGGTATGACATCTCTTGCTTTTACTTGGCTAAATACAACTACCCAGTTCAGTGTGATTTGTCTTGTACCTTTGCCTAAGTTTAAAAGTGGTTTGTCTTGTTGATGGCCAGCTACGTGTTGCCAACACTAAATGTGGTTGTAAGCTGTTCTGATTTTGTCTTCCCCCATTCAAATTTATCTTCTATGAAAATAAGTCTCTTGCTTCTGAAAGTCTGGGCTGTTGTGAGACTTGTATTCCTACTTGTAACATGTAGTTGCTGGTATAAAGTACCAGTGTCAAAGCTCAGTTATTTTATGAGTTTGAGCACTGCATTTTACAAGTAACTCTTAACTTCTTAAAAAATATATTTATTTTAAAAAATATTTTTCTGCTTCATGACCTGTTGTCATTCTGGTTTATATGACCCTGTGTGACACTTACTAATGTTATCAAGAAGACAGCACTTAGACTGAGGGCCTGAGTGCTGATCTTGTACATGTGAAATTGTCTGTGTGTTTGGGTAATTAGAATAATATTTTCCATGTAATACAAAATATTTTTTTTTATTGTGAATATTTCCAATCGGTTTACTTAGCAGTTTTGTGCTTGTGCAGAAGAGAATGTATCTTGAATAAGTTCCTGGCACAAATGGAACTTGGAGGTGCTAAGTTGCTTTTAGAAAGAAGAGGTTTTGTTGAGTTGGTTTTTTTTTTCCCCTCTGCAAAAAGGAAAACACTGCCCCTCCCTGCCACTTTCCTTCTTTTCCCTTAATAAGATCTTCCTCAAATGCTCCTGAGCACTGAGTAAATTCATAACTCGAGGAGGAATCCAGCCTCTTTTTAAGATTTACGAAGAAGCTACATGACAGAAGTTCTAATTTTTCTGACTTTCTGGAACTACGTTGCAGGAAACAGCAATTTTATGCCAAAGTATTATCTCTTTTGAGATCAATGTGTTTTCAGTAATTGTCAACAGAGTGAATTTAAAGTTGAAGTGTGAGGAAAATTTGTCTGGTAAAACAGATGACCAAAAAACAAAAGTTATATTAATTCTGAAAGAGTCATCAGGGTCTTTGGTTGATGTTTTTGGCTTCATTAAATTCTTAATTTCCAAAATTATACTCCTTTTCAAGAATAATGCATCAGATATTTTTTTAACATTTTCTGTTCCTGAAGGAACAGCCTTAGAAAATATCAAATGCAATACAGTTTGTATTCTCCCAGCTGAAATGCCTATTGTTTTGAGGGATGTATTTGTAAAATTTGCAATTTATAAAGTGGTCTCAAGAATTTTGCACATCGACAGCATTGGATAATGTTGTTGCCTGCAGTCATTGATGAAAACTTTGTATTCTATTAATGAAAAAAAAATTGTATTTTATTAATACAACTTTGAGATTAATTAATCCTGTTTCCCTCCTCAGTGTGCTAAAAGTTATTATTCCCTTTTTTCAGAAGCTTCTAGAACTGAATAACCTTCACTCTCTCATGTCCGTGGTGTCAGCACTGCAAAGCGCGCCTATCTTTAGACTGAACAAGACCTGGGCTGTAAGTTATTCCTTGACCATTGTCTTTTCTGTCTTGTTTGAATTCTCAGGTTTTTTGAACTTTTGTGAATTCTCAGATTGCATGCTCTGGAAGAAGATTCTTTATATTCTTGTTTTTGTGAGACCATCATAACAGAAGTAGCGATCTGTTACATGTTTTGAGAAAGCAGAGTTTAAATGGCTGCATATTTTTAGACAATCTTTTCTCCTGTAAGAGTTTCCTGGCTTCCTGTCTGTTCTAGAAGCCACTGATTATATGCTCAAGAGGACTTTAGTTGATAAGTAATCTTAGGAGACCCTTGTATAGTATGTGTATCAGTATGCCATTATCCAAATCATTCTTTGTATTATTAATACACTGCCTAAAAGGAAAAGAAGAAAAAAAACCTTATTACAAATATAGAAGCATTAATTTTGTGGTTATTGTACAGTGCATTTCTGTTTTCATCTATTTTAGAACTTAAAAGCATTGATAATTCTGTCTTCAGAAATTTGATCTCTTAAGGACAGAATTTCTCATTTAAATTTACTGTAAGTTTTGCTGTTTCTTTTAAGTTGAATACATAATTATAATGTCCTGCTGTATTTAAGAGTTAAATATACAAAGGATTAGGTAATTCTCATTAATTTAGTATTCTGCTCCAACGTGGATCATGTTAACTGTTCAGAACTGATAAATGAAGATGTCTATACTTAACTCTTTTACCTAAGTTTTACCTAAGGCATAATAATGACTTTAAAATGCCTGTAACCTTTTTATTGTTTGATTGCTCGGAATTGGGCTGTAGTCTGATAGAAAGGTAAGTGCTTCCTGTTCGAGCAGCTTGATGAAGTTGGAACTTAAATAGGGAAAATTGCTCATGTGTGAAACTGTGTGTGTGCATAATTCATTGCAGGACTTACACCTGAAGAGGTGTAAGGCTCCTTGTAAGCACAGTAGTTCAAAAATACAATACAGGGCAGAGTTAGGGCCTCAAGGCATTCTCGGTGCTGATTAGAAAGGAAACAGCAAAATTATTCTAAAATCTTTTCACTCTTGTACCTTTAATGTTACTTTTTATTAACAGCTGTTATTTAACTATGATGTGGTGCACACTGTTCCAGAGCTGCAAAGGGCATCAGGTCTCCCATTTGCAATACTGTTTTATTGATGACTCCTGTCAAGTCCATCCTGTTCTGAGCAAAACTGAATGAAGCAGTTAACTCGTGCACTGCCATTGCAATATAAAAATGGGCAGACTCTCAGTTCTCTAGAAACCAAACAGTTAGGCTTATGAGCTCTGTAGTACAAGAGCTGGAATTTTACAGAGGAAGAGTTGTATTAAGAAATGAGCTATGGAACAGCTGTCTGTTGTCAGAAAGTACAGCAGCAAGAAGCCAGTGTACAGTGCCATAATTCTCCACTCATTCTGACTCAGTTGGCTTTTAAAATAATCTTAGAAATATTGCTAGTGTTTCTAAAACCAGATGAAATAGGGAGTGTGCTTTTATAGCTACAGTTGTGTATTTTGCATTTACTTTTCAATCTTCTGTCACTTCAGGATCTTTTGCATTGCTAAAGATTGCTAAAATATTTTTCTGATTTCCTGTAGTAAGTCCAGTAATAAAAAACAGAGCTTTAAGTACCACACAGTGATTTACTTTCCTGTTACTTTTTTCCAAAAAGTTTTGTCCTGTTTTTAATAATGCACTATTTTAAAATGGCACAGTTTGTATTTATTTAGAGCATTTTCCGTTGCTATTTCTGCTTTCAAATTCAAGAGGATTTATTCTTTCTTATTTTTAAGACAGTTCTTCCCCTCACAAATATGGATTCGCAGAGGCGTTTCTCTATCGCTCATTAGCTCAGCCGGGGCTGGGGGGGTTATGCCTTGGAGCCAGGG